GAGCTTGCTTCAGAGTAATCAAAATGTAAGCATGACGTGCATTAGATACAAATCTTTATTCCTTTTTCTTTCAAGGAGAGCGAGAAACTGGCCTGAACTTAGATCATAGAAATAATTTATATTAATTGTAGCAAACCTTAGGATCTATGATTTAGAGTACCAGTCAAAGGTGACGGTACTGCTTCATTCATTTCTTTCGTAGTTGTTACTATTTCTTAACGCCGGGAGGGTACAGGTGATGCAGACGGTGATAAACCGGCTCATAAACAGAAATATCGAACGAGCGACATGGAGCAAATTATGCACAGCACCAGAAAGTGAAGGTGACATGCTTGTGTCACTCCTGATTTTATTTCAGAGCTTCACTGCATCAGATGTATCTCCCTATTTTCATTTCTTACAATGAAACGAAAATGTTTGTTGCATATCCGATGTATCTGCGCCAGAGTATGGAAGAGGAGTTCCTAAAGTAGGCGCTTTCCAAATGGACGTTTCCAGGTGATCTAGGCACTGATTTTCGAGTAGCATATAGATCCCGTTGAGAACGGCGATCTATAATGGGCAGCATAAGAATGATTTTATTGTACCAAGGGCATCCTTTCTCAAATGATTAATTGGCTGCTCGAGGCATATTTCAGTCAAATATTAAGCTGCATTTATTTTTTTAAATATTTGACCTACGTGTTCAATTACTGATATACCTTCTTACTGTAAGTCTTGTCGTAATCTCAGTAGTCCACTCTGTATACGACATTCTCGGATATTCATTGTTTCCACCATGCAGCTAAGGTACCTTTAGACTGGCTCAAGTACTCTAACTGTGAATGACAGAACTGTCATTCGTGTATATCGCAGAGACAGTTTTGAAATTGATTTAATCACTGTATTCTCGAACATCCTTTATTCAATAACTTATTTTAGGTGTCGAATTACTGCGGAGAAAATAGAATTGTCAGTTCCATGTATGTTAAAACGCAAGGTGTTCACGAGTTTAATAGCAGAACAATTGAATGATGTACTGTTGCGTTTTATAAAAATTACTTCTATATAATATTACCTCCCTTCCTAATGCAATATTACCCAGTCTATAAGTTCTAATCTCCTATCTATTAAATAATACCGCGCAAACATGCGTTCACTTTCGTTTGAAGCTTCTAACAGCGCTACAGCTATGAACGCAGAAATTCTACATCTACACTGACCGTTTTTGACAAACATCTACGTCTTCACCTACCATGGCCGCTTCTCCTTTCAAGTCGCGGAGGCACATTAGTCAGACAGTGCTTCCAACGTTCCCGATCCTGTTCCAGATTCCGAGCTTCGAAAGAAGACAACCGGATTCTGTGGCAGACTCATTCCATATATTTGTACCAGGATAGTCTTGGCCGTCCCCTCGGCCTTCTGCCGGTCACTTCGGCAAGAAATAGTTGCTTCGCCTTCCTTTCACGAGCCACTCGCAACGTATGCCCAAATCATTGCAGCTGACACTTCACAATCTGGAGAAGGATAGGTTGCACACTAAGGCTCTCCCAGATGTCAGCATTCCGGACCATGTCGAGACGCATTAGGCCAGCGACTCATCTAAAAAAGCCCATTTCGACACCTTGTACCCGGGTTTGAAGCTTTTCGGTCATGGTCTATGACTCATGAACGTAGGTAAGCATTGGGATATGGATCGACTTGAACACCGAGAGCTTAGTTTTCAGACTGAGCACTGCTTTAGTCACAATTGGTGGGGCTAGTTCACGTAGAACGTCACTGGCTATTTTATTTCGCCAGTCGATCTCTTTCTCAAATTCTTTATCACTAGAAAATACGATT